TTCAATGTTTAAAATTCGGAACTTTTATTAGTGTAAACCCGCGCAGGCGTATTATTATGTGTAATGGCAGATGCCGATTCAAGAGATATTATAAGTACAGAGTATTAGGGAATTATTTCGATGTAAGTAACCATGAGGAATTATTTTGATACCGATGGTCTTCACTTACAATTATTACTTGTTTGCAGTACATAGAGTGTTTTCATAGGGTTATTCACATTATCGTAAGTTAAAAGCAAAATTATGCAGTTCATCATTTAAAAACATACGCCTAATACACTTCATCCAGTATCTTACCGATGCAAAACGTTCTGAGTTTCTACATTTTTGTAATAGCATTCATTCAGACAACTTGTCTTACTAACTTTTACTCTATTCCTTTGTACATTTTAGCCCGCTCTTGTTTGGACCGTCTCGGATACTTCAAGGTACGTTCGTAAAAATGATCGCACTTTGCTATGCCCAAAGCGCTGAACATACTGTATTCTGTTCGCTGTTCTCATCGGTTAGGTATATACCTCATAAACATAAACATAAACATAAGGCTTTTTCGCATAAACATAAACATAAAAATAAAGCTGCGCTGCATAAACATAAAGCCGTGATACATAAAGCATGTACCGCATAAACATAATCCGGATGCTAGGTATAAGTTTGCTTTGATTCAATCGGCTGCACAAGCAAATCCGGGTGGAACAATGCGGTACATGAAGTGCCGTTTCTGGTCTATCCAATTTGGTTCTACATTGATTCGGTCGCGTGTCTGAATGATTAAAACAATTTTCACCTGTAATATCTGAAATTGGAGATTTTCAACTGGGTAATTTTTAACCCACCAACGCCGGGTACCAGAAGGAATAGGAATACCGATTTGAAAATTGGTATTCGTCGACAAAAAAATTCAATTAAGAAAAATTTTTTTTTGTGGAATTTTCGTGACCATAGGTCAAGCAGGACGTCATGATGCCAAAGTGGCACGCATGGGAACTGAGCCAATTGGCACTGTAAAGTTTTGCTTAAATAACAATTCATAAAAAAATCCTACAGGAACTTAGCTTAGCTTAAACAGAAGCCCTTAAAGAGCGCGATTTAGTTAAATAAATCAAATGGTCAGCAAGATGACCAGTGGTCAACAAAAACGAAAACGCGTTAAACCACCTATTAGAGCTGGCACACCATAAAAATGATATAATGTGCCTAGCATATCGCGAAAAGCAGATTGAAACGCATATGAATTAAGCACAAATTTCTTAGCACTGTTCCAGCCAAAAAATTTTATTCCTAATAATCAGGAAACAAGCGACTTATCAAGCAGCATTCTGCTTTGACCAGCCTGATTGATGCGGAAATGCGTACAGTAGTCTCAGTGCGCTGCGTTGGACTGTGGCTACCATGGACTCATCAGCCACTGTCAACTTTATTGCAGTAACAGCACCTGCGTCCAGAGACGATGTCAGACGCTGGACAGTAGTGTAAAGGAAGTACTGCATGTATTATTTCTTTATACAGATTAGACGTAGACTAAATCTAGTGATTTACGATAACGTGAATGACATTATTATGACGATAATGTTAAACCTATTGTTGTGTTGTATTTCTCATTGCTAATTAGACGTAATATCAAGCGGCCGGACCTATTCACCCATAGATAGAGAGCAGCTAAGTCAGCTGCGGAAATGATCACTCTTGGTGTGCTGACCGGAAGTTTCCGCATATTAAATAATATATTTTATACATAATGTTAATATAATGGATTAGTTACGAGAATGTTCATTTAAAGTGAATACTCGTGAAGTGTATATAAATTCAAAGTACGGAGATGATCCCTCGTAATTCAAAACATTTCAAAAGTGTAGAAAGCACCGGGTCTATGCGAATGCGGTTGTAAACCGGGCTGTCACACTGCGGTCATACACCGATACGACATCGACAGCGATAACCAGTCTGCGAGCCGTTTTAGTTTTGTGGTTGCTCATTTTTGCTCAAGAGTCAGGACAAAATAGTACAAGTAGTGTTCAGAAAGTGCCGAAAACACTGTTTAGTACCCATATCTGTGGTAGTATTTTTAATTTTCGGGCAATTGGCCAGTAAAGTTATTTTTCGACCTTGAGTGACCACTGGTCACTTCAATGACCACTGAATTATGATCAATAAAAAGGGTCACTTTAGTGTGATTTTTTGATTGTATGTGCAATTTTTTATCTTGAGACAATACTTTTATATAGAATTTTGAATTTGTGATACAGAATAGTACCAAACCCATGCGTGCCAAAACTGGCACAGATTTTTAGAATGACCGTGGGCGGACGGTGTCCACCTGTGTAAGCATAACCTGCTTATTTTTGAACAAAGTCCAACGCATACTTAAAATGTGATTTTTTGCGTAATTATCTGATGCGGGAGTTTCTGGGCAGGTGCCCGAGACCCCCGCGAACCTGGTTTGGTCATTTTTGTCCACCTTTGGTCATTATCACAACTCTGTGGTAACGCTGGGCTATGAAATTTTCCGTTTTTAACCATACTTTGACTCCTCTTCTTTTAAACGAAACCAACACACAGGTTGTAGGAGCGTTAGAACTAGCTACAAAAATTCGGTCCTCCACCGTGCCAATTGGCATGCATGGTGTCGACCGGGTTAATTTGGTTTGCCATGACGTCCGACAGCGAAGTGGAATCGGATAGTGAATCTCCACCGTCAAAGCGAAAACGTTACAGCAAAAGATTTTCGTCTAATCTTTTTTGAGAGTGTGTAGCTGTTTGCAACGTATTAATTTTGTATTCATTAGAACAAGCAGTGGCTCTATGGATGAATCTGCAGTCCACCAAGTTGCTCAAGACGAGGAAATTGTTGTTGACGAAGAAGCCCCTTCTGTTAACGGATCTACGAACGGCGACAGCCATTCGGAAGGCGAGGTAGTTTGGCTGGATCCGGAGCCGCTTATTATCTATGCCCGGGGTGCCAGAGAGCGCTTAAAGCCGGAAACCGGAGATACGGCTGTCGGAAGAATTTGGAAAACGTGAGTTATCCAGTTAGTGTACCGGGCATTACGAATTTACATAATGTGATTAGGTTTTTAGTTCCAGCATTTTTTATATATTGTTATTGCGATACAGCCAGGATACTTTGTTATTTTTATATAATTTTATTGCAGCACAGTAACTATCTCATACATTTAAAATAAACTGGAGCTAAACGAAGAGCGGAGTTTATTTTCAATTAAACCTAAATGCTTTTTTTGTTTTAGGAAGTCATATCGGGTGTTCCAAAGGCCGAAGTCTGAAAGACTGGCGGAAACTCATTCTCTGATCTTGAGTGAGCCAAAACTGGACAAGGTCGTGAATAACTCTTTGCCCCAGGAATATCAAGGAAGTGGATTCTTTGCCGTGAAAATTAAAGAAGGAGTGGTTGAAAAGGTGAAAAAGGTTTTAGATTTACTGAAGCGCGACGGAAACCGAACGTGGTCACAGCGAACCCGTACTTGGTGGAAATTTTCACAAGTTCGGGGTGCTGTCAGAAACTGATTCTGGTCAACAGTACTTTGTGTCTATTGAATCGGATTCGGGGAAGTTTGAGTGCAGGTGCCCATGGGCGAAATCAAACCAAAACCGACTTTGTAAACACGTGGTTGCAGCGGCTGTTATTCATAACCTCGTCATCGAAATTTCAAGCTACGTCAAACAGAAAGCATCACTTGAGCCACTGCAGTTCCAAAAAGTAACTGGCGGCGGGAAAAAACCGTCTCAAAAGCCATGTAAAACAGGTGTTGGTTATACACGTCGTGAAGGTCTGTCCCAAACTGGATGTTCTCAGCCGTCAGCAAGCTCATTACCAGCTGACCTTGGAGATGCAGCGTCTTGTGCCAGCGTCGCCGATGAACACCCGCAAGCTGAGCTTGTAAGGAGATTTGCAGCTACTGCTCGCGCAAAAACGCCAGGTACAAAACAAAATATTCGAGTATTGATGCAATTATAATTTACTTTCAGTCACTCATGCATGATTTTCGAGTACAGATATATGTGTACGAAACGAGTCCGGCTGAGTGTTTGTTTTCGAATAGTTTAAAGCGAGATGACATACACTGTCAATATTTACAGAGCGTTGCGGCTGCTGCAAAGCTTCCGGTGGTCCTTTCCATCCATGGCAGCAAGGGTCAGATCCATTCAGGATTACTAAAGAATCCTACGTCGATCCGCGATGCAAATGTCCAGGTTGCAAACAGGTTTTTAAAGAGAAATGGAAATCGGGAGGTTGTTCGCAGTTGCTTGTGGTCCGTACAGAATTTGACTACAAAAGCGGGAGCAACAGAACCAGAATCATTGACAAAGCAGGACCTCGCAGGTATTGTTTGGAGAAAAGTTGCATTCAAAACCGGCATCCTCATTTTCGTCCGACGCAATGTGTGATGGATAAGAACATCGAATTTTCGGCAAAAGAGCTTGAAGAGATAGGGCAGTTCATGGCTGAGAAGCAAGGCTAGCCAGCATAAACTGATACAACAGAAGGGCGGCAGTTTACCGAAAATGTTTTGTTGCTTGATGTTTGAATTTTGTGATGTTTAAAGTGCCGCGATCCAGTTTTTCCCGGCGGTCAGTGTAGCCTACGGTTCTGGATTGGAGACATCTTTATTACGGAAATATGGAATAAAAATTTTGCTGCGGTAGAGCACAGTGTTAGCAATGCGTAGCTGTTAAACATTCGTGAATATTTTTGGGGCCCAACACTTGTTGTTTTAGTGCAGAAAAGCCTTATGTTTTTGTTTGCAGTGCGTAAAAACGTTACCGAATTATGCCAGCTTACGTCTGTGTTACAGCTTGTGTCTTTCGAACGTTACGTTGTGTTCTTGGTACCCCAAGTATATCTCGCAGTATGTCCTGCAGTACATCCCGAGTACATCGCGTTTATGTTTACAAAATATACAGATACAAACGTGTTTAACTTTTGTGGTGCTGTAGCTGTTTGGGTTTTTATTTAAATACATGATAAATGCAGCGGTGGTACGTCAAGAAAAAGCAAGCAAGAAGCTTGGGAAATATTTAATACAACACTCATCGTAGTATTTTAATCAAGATCCAATATTGCATCTCTTGCTTCTTCGATTTGTTCTTCAGCTTTTTCAAAAGATTGAGCACCAATAGTTGCTTGAGCGTAAGCTTCGATTGCTTGTACTGATATTGACGGCAGCCTCTTATAAATTTTTTCAGAAGTCTCAAACTCATCCTGTAGTTCAGCCAGGGTTGTCATAAAACTAATAAACTGATTGTTCTCTAGCCAGATTTTGTTCGGATGCTCCCTTCCCCAGTAAATATTGAACAGACCTTTGAAACAATCCCCGTACGTGTTTGACCTTTTCTCTGAATTCTTGTTACGTCCAGTTCTTGCTTTCTTAATAACTAAAATGTCGGATCTCGGCTTTTCATACGACTTTTCCCCTAGGAAATATGTGTGCAGGTCATCCCAGCTTTCATAAACATTGATGGAGGTGCGTTTCTTTAAGTCCGCGTGTTTAGCCATAAGAGTGCACAGACTGGTTTTTTGACTGATATCATCGAGCCCATTTAACTTGGACTGCACTGCGGATTGAAACTGCTGCAGAACGCCCAAGAGTTTCTCCATTTTTTTCCGCATTAGGCGGTCGTGTTCAATTAAGTTGTGATGGAAATCACTAATTGCTTCGTGCACAGCAGCCTTAATAAATAGATAAAAAATGTTATTGTATATAACTTTTACAAATATTTAAATATATATATATATATATATATATATATATATATATATATATATATATATATATATATATTATGACAAATGCGCTTGAGCTTGCCATCTTTAGTCGGTCAGTGTCCGAAAGGCGCTCCAAATACGCGATTGGGTGCGAGTAGTTAGTAAAATCAGAAGGTGGTTGTACAGCATTTCGATTTTCTTCGTCGACATAACGTAGATATACGTTAGGGTCTGGTAAGGCAATCCGGGGCATCTTTAGTCAGTACTCCAGCAAACAAAATTCAGAAAACAATTTTACGACTGTGTTCGGGAAACTGGAGTACTTGTACGGACTTCTTACGAGAAAAATGTCTGCCATGGTAACCATTCTAGTAAGTAACAAAAATTACGTATAATAGTATGTGTTTTAACGTTTATGTTTATGTATTATGTATTAAAGACATTATGAGTTTAAGCTTTATGTTTATGTGGGTAACCTTTATGTTTATGTTTATGTTTATGTGAAAAAGCCTTATGTTTATGTTTATGTTTATGTTTATGTTTATGAGGTATATACCTAACCGTTCTCATCAGACATGTCTGTTTTATATGGGGTTTATTTGTTAATTCATTAAAGAGTTCGGAATAATACGTGGTCCTGCTTCATGAACATGAAAGTTCCACTGTCCCAGCAAAGTTGGCCAAACGCCTTTCAGCTGTCGAGAGTCTCGCCTCGAACCAGGGGTGAGATGATCGGTTTTGCGGTAGTTTTGCGGCAGCCAACTGTATTTAAAGACTGCTAGAGCGCTCAGCTTCAGAAAATTAAACGCTCAGTAAAATACGAGTACGTTAGTTTATCAATTTTCTCAACTACTTGTTGTTTTTTCATAGGTTTCTTAGGGATCAGTTTTCTTAGGCTTCCTGGGTCTCTCAAGCCAACAAAATGTCGTCAGCACATTGTCAGTTTTCACAAAAAATAAATACGGTTTGCGGCTGCTAAAATTAAAGTAATGGCGCAACTTTCTGAGAGAGATATGGCTGAATCTGGTAGTCCAGTTAATGACAGTAGGCGTGTGCGTCGAGTGTTTCTACCTAAGAAACTATAATTATTGCGACAGCTTTTCAAATACAAAAAAATGTCGAAGTATCTATTGCTTAAAGGCAGTGCTTTTTCATCTTGCAGCGAAAAATAAACCCCGAATTCCTGTCTCCGGTATTTCGACGGCTTTTAATGGAAAACAAGTCCTTCAGCTTCCAGAATACAGTAGCTACTGTATTCTTGTAGCTGAGGACTGGATATAGCACTGCTATAGCAGTGCGCATGGAGAACGACAAGTGCTGGCTGGGATGCATCCAGGACATTTTCGGTGACCATTTTTTCGTAGACTTTAAATTCCCCCACAGCGCCCATGCGCTACATGCCTGCTACGAGACTCTGGCCGCTGCAGTGCGTGTCCGGTTATTATGAAGATAAATACCTGTAATGCAGTGCAGTGGCTACGCACCCTTGCGCGTAGCAACATTTACATATTTGTGACCTGTACTGGATGGGATATTCTGTAGTGTTCTTGATTATTATATTTAGTATCTATCCGGCCAGAGTGGCACAATAAATCTGGTGCTTCACGACGTGACAATTGGCGTGAAGCGTGTAGTATTCATTGAACTTTAAGTGGGAAGAGAGGAGTGAGCGTTAGTTAAGCGTGACAATGGCGACTTCAACGGATCGACTGGCGAAGTTTAATCCGGAAACGATGGATTACAAAGCGTGGAAGTTCTTGTTTGATAATTACGTTGCCCTGACGGATCTTCATACCGATAAGCACCGCCCTTTGCTGATCAACAGTCTGGACACTAAAGCCTTACAGCTTCTCGTGTCCATGTGCAAGCCGAAAATGCCGTCGGATTTCACGTTTGGAGAATTGCTGGCGAAGCTGGAAACGGCATACGCGCCGTACACCAACCAGATCACGGAATGGGCACTATTCTTCAGCCTTCGTCATATCCTGATGGTGCTTATCGGGCGTTGGAAGAACGGATGGAGTTGCACGGTCCCTTCGCCGTCCTGACTCGGCCACACTGCCCAGTAACCTTGCTTCTGCAGCAATGTGTATTGTTGCAGAAGCATCCTTGCTGGGAATAACCGCCGCCGGATGTACATTGCATTATCCAGTGTTTAGCCAATCGGTTGGAGGTAATAACGTGATCAAGTCTGCAGCGTAATGGAGGTTGCAGAAGCATCCTTGCTGGGAATAACCGCCGCCGGATGTACATTGCATTATCCAGTGTTTAGCCAATCGGTTGGAGGTAATAACGTGATCAAGTCTGCAGCGTAATGGAGGTTGCAGAAGCATCCTTGCTGGGAATAACCGCCGCCGGATGTACATTGCATTATCCAGTGTTTAGCCAATCGGTTGGAGGTAATAACGTGATCAAGTCTGCAGCGTAATGGAGGTTGCAGAAGCATCCTTGCTGGGAATAACCGCCGCCGGATGTACATTGCATTATCCAGTGTTTAGCCAATCGGTTGGAGGTAATAACGTGATCAAGTCTGCAGCGTAATGGAGGTAATAACGTGGCACTCAACCGTGCCTGTTTTCGGGCGGCGGGCGCGCGCTGAAAACAGGCACCTGTACTGCAATTCCATCCATTTTAAATGCGTTTCACCGGCGTAACAAACGCTGCATTACGGAGCGTTTTCGTTTGAATAGAATATGGTGATGGTTTTTACACTGTGCAATTCACACGATATTAAACGTGTTAATAACGTGTAAAAACAATCTCCGCATTCACGTGCTGCGAAATGCCGAAAACCGCAGAACATATATTGTTCAATTTTGGAAAAATTTAATTTGGTGTTAAGGGATGTGTTCCGGTACATGCCGACAAAGATTTCCAATCACACAAATCAAAATACATCTCTGCATTGTTCTACGAATTTTGCTGCTTTTGGAACTTTGAGAAGGCGCATGTTATTTCATTTCCTTGCTCTCGCGACTTCCTGAACAACTTTTTGCGTTGGTTTATGACATTCCGTAGCCAAATGATTGTGGATATGGACGACTTCGTATACGTGAAGTTTTCCAAGGCATGTTTCTTGATTGTCTTCGCAGTATCCCGCCGCATACCATGGTATCATCTGCGTATCGATCATGTATCCTCATTATTTTGTGACTCCTTGTTATTGGCTGCCGTATCCTGCATGTATCCACAAAACAAGTTAACAAAATATAAAAAAACATAGAAATAAACCTAAAAAGCACAGATAATTAACGGGATACATGGAGGATACACGAAGGATACTGTACGATACGCGATGTACAAAGAACGGCCACATTAACAATATCCGCAATCCGTGCAGAATACTAAAAATTAATGATGTTTGTATGCGTATCACCTTTGGAAGCTACAGTCTCCCACCGTATCCCATGGTGCACTTTACTTACATTTTAAGAATCGTACTGAATGTACCTATGGCGTATCGATTGAATGAATCGTGACGTATCTTAGCGTGTACCTACTGTATCCGTCGCGTATTTAGCTATCCAGATAATTTTCTTAGGTTTCTTAGTAGATTATACAATGTACGACAAAAAGAGGTTGAACCGATCAGTCGGTCCGCGGTTCAAAATAACCTCGCAACGACACGCCACCACTAAAACTTGGACGCTTGCGAGGTTATTTTGAACCGCGGACCGACTGATCGGTTCAACCTCTTTAATCGTACATCATTTGGATATAAAAGATGCTGCAAAGATACGCTGGGATATTGTGGATACAAGTCAAAACACGAATACGGAAAAATTGTGCTGCAGCCGGAGCGAGATGATAGCAAGTATTTTTGGTTTTCTTTACAAGCACGTACTGTAAGTACAGCTGTACTATACGTAGTGATATACTGTACAGAGGGTGTTCACGCCAAGTGCGGCCAGCAAGAAATAAAATTTCCTTAAAATTTCCCCAAAACAATTAATATCCGTGTGTTACACTTTAACATATTTTGAAGTGTGCTTAATCTTTTAAGATTGGTCAGAAAGTTTGACTGCAGTAGATGAAAGAGAAAACAGATTTTTAAACGATGTGCCTTGTTTTGTCGTTTGCAACAATTTTAAAAAATAATAAAAAAATTGCAATACGTCTGACGACCAGAAATGTAAATATCTATATTTCTGCTGTGGCATTAAGAGAGGTTTTTGAAAATTGTGGACCAAAGCGTAAAGGAAATGATTCGCCTTTTAAATGCCTTGGAGAGCGGACCCCATCGAAAGTGCACACAAAGTTCCTCGTTGCCAAGACGCGACAAGCATGTACTGCTCCCAAGTCTCAGTCTCAGAGACCATTGTCATAGAACCTCGGAACATCCCATCACAGAACAGCGATGATAAGTCCCAGGAATATTGTAGCAAACAGGTGTAAAGGGACGATTGTTTGGGCTAGTCAGAAAGCCTTGAACCGCCAGCAGTTCTCTCGCGGCTTTCGGCCAGGCAAAATTTTGAGTAACTGAAATCTCTTTCGTATCTTCGCATTTGATGAGTCATAGAGCTACCTTTATTTTACCGGCCAGGGAACAATGATACAAAGTCAGTTCGAGGAATAAAAAATTATTGAAAACTAGATTAAGTTTAACAGTTTTACAAAAACGAATCACATGATGCTGGTGGTCGGAATTAATTATCGCGAGACTGCTGCGACGAGTTTGCTCACTGCCTCCGGTGAAGTCATCGCAGACGTCCATACTAAAGATCTGCCAAAGTCAGATCTCCAGGACAACAGCCCGGAGGGATATCCAAGGGATGGAAGACAGTGTGACCCTTCCCAGGGACCCCACTTCGATCCACGCAGCCCAGCGATACATGGGTTGCTCGGATCTTCCAAAACCAAATAAATTCTGAAGACGAAAGGCCTAACAACTCTACAGAAATAACATTTTGTGGTTGGTTGGAAACCCGAATTTTGTTGTGAAATTTTATTTTGAAATTGTGTGCCATCGTTATGCCATTTGTTCCGTGGTGCGCCAAGACCCTCCTTTAGTTTCAGAATTTTCCTTTGTCATAAAATGACTACCGCTTAGCAAAAATGATTTAACCCGACAGTTCAAAGAAAGGGCTATTCGATGCAATAGAAAGAAAATCAAGATCTGTATGGGGAAGTTCGTAACAAATTTCTGAAAAACTGGCCGCGCTTGGCGTGAACATCCTCTGTAGCAATGATCAGACATTGATTGTACTGCAGCAATGATGTAGTGACATGTTGTAATTTGTTATTTTATTAACAAAATAAAGCCAAGAATCAGCTAACATCGCTGGTTAACATGAACAACATCAGTGCAGCACGGTGGGAATCGCCGAGAACCTTTTTGGGCTGCGATTCGTAAAGGTTGAAAAAACAAGGCTATGCGGCATGTACCGGTCTGTATCTTGTGTACGTGCCGTATGACTGTTTCGGCGTTGCGCCATGCAGACGCACCCGCTGATCAGCATATGCTAAAAAGACTAATGGCGCGTTGAACGTGTGCATCCGTGTTTTGGCATCCCGGATTAGCCGGCAATACAAGTTATATGAGGATATTATTGCAGCGCAGAAAATGCTGGAAAGGTAATAACAAAAATTTGTTGCAGTAACGCACGAACATGAGAGCCGATCGACGAGGACTAATTTCCGGTGGATAATATCCGAAAGGCACGGGAATGTTGCCACCAGACATACCTTCAACTGATGATCGGCCAGCTTCATAAATTCCATCGGATGGAAGCCGGATAAATTGGCCGACAAATGTACGCCATCTTTCGCACAGATTTCGTACAGTGGTCGACTAGACTGTGCGGCCGTTGAAGCATGGATAAAGTATCTTGACAGGACAACTCACAGGCGTCCAGGAACACATCCTGTGGAAACCGGGACGGGCCAGTTTCTGCATCCCTATTGCAGCCGTTAACAGCGAACGAACGCTTTAAAGCTTTGGAAACGGCGGCTCCTAATAGAATACGGACACATCGTTAACCGTTGACCGCTTTACAAATCGTTAAGGAACCTCAATATCGAAACTGCAGGGAGCTCGATAACGGATACTGGGTAGGTCGTTGACTTGTACAGTTTGTCACGGGCCACATCGATATTTAAAATCCGATATTTGTGTGGTCGGTATTAGCATAGAAGTACGTGTCTTGCGATCTTTTTTTGCGTTAGTTTTTATCGGGAATGATGTGCGTCGTTCGGTACATTACATTTTTATCACCTCTTATGACTTAACTGCAGCTTGAAACGTTGAACGAACTGGAGTACGAGTAATCCACACGAGTAATAAACCCAGATCTGACTAATCTCCAGCAACATCGGAACGCGATAATGGCCATGAGTTTAGTAAGCAGCAAGCATTAACTCCGCCTTATTTGATATTGAGAACCGACTATCGTATCCTACGCAGCTCCAGATAATGTGTAAATTCAGTGCATCGATTGTCAGTCAGATTATCGAAATCATCAAGTTCTGGGAACCCGGTCACTTCCTCACTGGTTTTCCAATTTGACACACGCTTGGTTGACAATAAGTAATAAATCATTTGATGAGTTATGTTTAATCTTTAATGTTCGTTCGTACAGATGCAAAGGAAGGTACGCAGTTTACATGAAAATCACGCAAAGCCGCTGAATGCTTGGTTATATACAGATACAACGCAGTAGTAATGCTCTTGCCGAGAGTCTCCAGTATTGACACCAACTTCCGGCATACTCGACATCACCTTTTGCCATCGATATAATCGGATTCCCGATTCCGGATCCCAGCTCTCTCGCCTGGACACCGAAGTTCCTGTATGTAATATTATTAGTGTGCAATACAAAACGATACCTGTACGACAGAGATTATGGATCCACGAGTGTAAATACACGAAAACTTTCGCTTTCAGCCAATGTATATATGCAACTAGCTTAGCTACAAAAAAAGTGAATCGTAGTGCGCGAAAGCGAAAGTTTCAGTGGCTGTATACGTAGCTACTACTTTAGGTTTAATGCACTTTTTTTGCACAAGCATTAATGCACAAGTGGGCCAGTGTTGCATGGATACATGTTTATTTTTTATTATGGGGGGGGGGACCCTGGAATATCAGATCAACACAGGCTGAAAACTGCGGCAGCCTGCGAAACTGCGGCAGCCTGCGAAACTGCGGTAGCCTGCGAAACTGCGTCAGCCTGCGCATTCGTGATAAATTGAGAAAATCGAAACTAATTCTCCTTCAGTTATTCTTTCAGTAAAGTAATCCTTCAGTTGTTTTAATCTTGCTGCTGAAAATTTAGCAGGTCGTAACAGTAAAACCTGGCAAAATATTTTACATATATTTTCGTATTCGTGTATTTTGAGAAAAAGCATGCAGTTTTTTGTGTTTTTTTCGTGTACTTTGAAACAGTAGCAGGTCGCCAAGCCAAGCTGGCGCCAAGTTGGCGGCATTGCGTTTTATTTTTCTGCCGACTGGTGTTGCGCAATTTTTTCCAAGTTTTCTTTTGCACATTTTATGAGCATAAATTCGTTAGACTTGTCGTTGCGATGCCGCGAGAAACATCTTCGGACTGGAAGGCATCGATGGAACGAGTCGTGACAGTGTTAGGAACACATTTAATTCATCCAGGAAATCAGGAATGACTTTAAGCGCTGAGAATTAAGCTCATTTTAATGACAATTACATGATTGATTCAGGAACAAAAACTGAAATTCAGCGGCTAGGCCAAACCAGCAAAACCCCTATGGGAGCAGAATCGTTTTTCGCTCAAAGCGCTGGCCGAAAAAAACGATGGCGGCCATTGAATGCTGGGCGGTTGCTGGGTGCACGAGTGACCTTTTGGTGTTCGCACGGATGTTGGCTGCGGGCACGGATTTTTGTTATGCTACTTTTTTTGCGCAACGAATTTAAGGTATTTCGCAACTTAAAAAATAACTTACAATATCGGTGCACATGAACACTCTAAACATTTCGAAATATTATGTTGCATCGCTTTTTCAAAACGTTTATTTAAACACCGAAATTTAGAACTCCGATATTACATGGTAATAAAAATTTATAAATGTTTCTAAAGCTGGTACGCTCCAAAGCTGCTACGTTTCGAAAGCCCCGCTACGCTCTTTATAGATCTATTTAGACGTACGTACTTGTACAGTAACATACTCCAGTACAAGGAGTAGCAAGAACTTACTATAGGTAGACACTATAGTAAGTACTTGATAGTTTTGTATTTCTCACACTATAGTAAGTACCTGGTAGTTTCCCACCCATGGTAACAATTGTCTGTACTTCGCATAACAATATTATTGTCTCATTAATTTTTACATCAGAAGGGTTCTACGCTCCTTTACTAAAAGATGCCACGCTCGGTACTGGAACGATAATGGTTGACCTCTGCGGATTTTTGTTTTTACTGTGAGAACGGGACATCGGTCGCGCACGTTGGGACGTCGGTCACGCATTAACAAATCTTAAAAAATTTAATGTAAATAAATAAAAGTAATGATAAATAATTTACTGAAAAAACGCATTTATTGAAGAATGGTGATATTTATTGAATAATCAGAACGTTAATTTAATAATACGGATTCTTTGTAAATTCTCGGTGGTCTAAATAAACGGTGGACTATCTGTATAAGTGCGGTGGTCTATTCAGACTAAATTACTAGTAATTTCGGTGGTCATTCGTTTTAAATGACATTATCGTAATAATAAATTCGTTTGGTTGAATAATAACAGAAACAATGTGCATTGCTCGAAACCTATAATCGACATCTAAATAAATATCGGCAACCGAGTAACTGGATACTTTTAGCAGCATTCAACTTAGCAACACACCAACAGCCCCGCAATCTCGCAGCGCCGCAGTCTCGCAGCCCCGCAGTGCCGCAATCTCGTAGTTTCGCAAGGCCGCAGCACAGCAGTCTGGCAGTCTCGCAACGCCGCAGTCCCAGAACGTGGCAGTCTCGCAGCGCCGCAGCTACCGCATCCCGGAAGTCTGGCATTCTCGCGACCTTACAAGGCTACCCGCCCTCCTTATTCTGGCCCACTTGTACATTATTACCTGGGTTACGTGCTACCGAGATGAAACTATTAAACTATGCCGAGCTATTTCCTTGTACATTGTGACGGGTCAATACGCACATAAAAGAAAAATTCTCACAGGTTTCCAGTAATGAAGAGGTATTTAACCGGCAGGGCTTCTTGCCTGCTGACAAAAAGCCGCATTGTTATGGCGCTAATTGTCAGACTGATAACCGTTATTCGCGGTCTGCCATTAAAACAATGTCACAACTGTCCGCGAGTGGCGTGTTTGGGCACATGCGCGGAGTGTTTGACGGGTGGAGTGCTATCATTTCTGTCGTGTTCAACTGACGGTGCTCATCAGTGTCTAATTAGTTGAAATTTCGGCAAGTACGTAACCATAACTGTTAAGCAAATCCCATCGTACATATCACCAGCAATCGGCGTATTTTTATGGTTCGTACGACTCCGTATAACTGCACTCTGCAGTCCGTACTACTATAATTTGACAATGCGGATCTGTCGACGTCAGAATCGGGATCTTCAGCGTCAGTTGTTAGCATTACTTGTATCTGCCGCATCGTAAATCCTACCGTAGTCTTAATCGCATAACAATGCGGTTGGCGGAATATTGTGTTGCGTTCCATTACGCCAGGGACTCGCCAGACACAAATGATACGTTAATTTCCCTCACAAACCCCACTTAAGTTCAGGGAATACTGCAGCGAAGTGTAATCGGCAGGAACCAGTCGGCCCAGTACCCTCATTAATATTGTACACCTGCGCCCGACATACGGTACTCAAAATGGTAAAACTGTTGCCCCGTTTCCCCTTCCTTTATTGCAGATACGTTGCAGTAAAGTGGTCTTGATCTTCCCTATTGTACAATCTGTCAGTGGAGCAAAACTAATGTCCTGATTCGCTCAGCTTTCCTCACCATCAGCTCGATTGTGTGTTTTCTTCGGACACGGCGTTTATCCTACGCTAACGATGGATACACGTAAATATTGGATATACACAAATTATGTTAACATATATCTATGTTTATACATACGTACATCAATATACATACGTTAACGTCCAAGCGTGAAATCGGCGTCGCCTAGAGCGGACGTTCGGTTTAAACCATAAATACACTGTATGCGCGTATTGTACGGTAACGAGACGGTATTCAGCGCTGTGTGATTGTTGCAGTTGCATTTGGCGGATGATTGGCCGCGCCGGTATTGTTCGTACAAGTGTTTTTGTTGTCCTCCCGTGAAGCGTGAGATGCCGAATCCTTTTGCAATCGGCCGACGGATACATCGGGCACGTTGCTGACGACTGCCGCGTTAAGTATCTGCGGCGCACTGAGTGCACCGGTCCACCAGGCTGCCCGTCATAATAAACGCCTGCAGTTGTACGCTGCACCTGGAGCCACTCATTTGCACCGGAAATACACCGCGACACTATTCCCTGGTTATCGATAAATGCCTCGCAAACTGTATATATACTGCATATTCATATGTCGATTTCTGCTTTAACTATTTTATTTTTGGTGATATGCTTGGAGAATGATACATGCCACTGCTGTCTGTCTGGTCAGCAAATCATGAACGCGACAACGCCGGTCTCAGTGAAGATCAAGGTACGTAATTTGAATTGATGCGATTTGATATGGCTTTTACATAAAGACATTTTGAACCGATAACACTGTGCTTAATATGCATTATGCACAGTACTTGGTAGTAAATCAAGATTTGGCCATCCATTACAAGCGGCCGCCGTGCGAATGTTATTTTAGCTTGCGTTTTGATTGCCATTATTTTTATCGTATCTGAAATAAACTAAACTCCACTCCAAAAATAAAATTATTAAAAGTTTCATAAAAATAATACGAAATTGATCTTATTTAATAAGACATTCATAATAGACTAGTGTTGAACAGACGCAGAATGGAATTAAAACAAAAATAATTATATATTAACAATACTTTTAAAATTCTAAAAATACATCGAATTAAATTTTTAACATATTTGAAAATAATTTCTGAACTTCTTTAACTCTACAGGCGACCCTTTCCACACAGCGTGGTAAATATAGATATCTAGGTGCGCAAATTGCAACACTATAACCGCTTTATGTGTATTGTGTAGTTTATGTTTTGGCTTTGCTTCGGCTTTTTAGTTAGGTGAACTTCGTTATACTTTGTAGTAATAAATTGCTTACGTCCGGACGATCAGTATGCGAATCGCAGTACACTTCATTCTCCATATAGATTAGTATGCGCAATATTAATGTGTGTCTCCTATCCTGCATTCTTCACATATGTAGTTTATCGTAGCTCCAATAAAGCAATAATTATTCTTCCAGGTCACCCAGGAATCGCAAGTCACCAAGAAGGAAGCCAGAGTCAACTGTGGCATTTGCGGGAAGTCGTATGCCAGCAAGAAAAGCTTAAAAATCCATCTACGTCAGCACACCGGCGAGAAGCCGTACGCGTGAGTCGAACCACGATATCAATATTATTAAGAAGCGTGAATGCATTGTCTTAGCAAAATCTTGAGCATCCAGCCGCGTTACTTGTAGGTGCCATTTATGCCCCAAACGATTTAGTCAGACCAATATTCTTCGAACGCATCTGGATTTCCATGCCGGGCGGCGTGACTGGGCGTGTAATATCTGCCAGAAACGTTTCACTCAATTAGCTCACTTGCGCACCCACCAAAGGATACACTCCGAGGCCCCAAGAGATCACAACTGCTCAAGATGCGGGAAAGGTTTCAGTTCAAAAGGTATGTTTTCTTAGGTTTTCTTGAGGTTTCCTAGGTTTCTTAGGCTTTCTTATGTTTTGTTTTTCTGCGAACAAAAATTTTGATGACAGCCTGTTTATTGCCAACTGGTTTGGTCATACAATTCTTAACTAGTAATTTTGCAGTCATGAACTACGACTGCAACGTATTACCTAACTAAATAATATTTGTTTTTTTTATAATGAGACTGAATACTTTGCGTTCGCAGATTACTATTTTCATCTACAGTGTTTAAGGTCATCAATAGCGAGATTGTCGTAAATATACATAATTTATTATCATAAGCATCATTATTTCGCAGTAAAATTTGTCGGCATTTCCATTATCTGGAAGCGATAATCATTAATTTTAGCATTTTTATTATCATATAATGCATCCAAATAAGACTGATTTATGCGTTTCGGGCGGATTTGGGTCGTTTTTCTTCAGCCTGAGAAACAGTGTTCTGGTAATTTGTTTGTACCTCAAGAACGATTAGGACGACGATCACTAAATACTCAGTTTAATGTCCACTGCCTTCAGCTGTAGGAGCTCGTTGTCGATGGAAACGACAAGCTAACGAGGCACCACAACCTTGAACCGGCGATAAATTACTGTAGCGACGTTCACAAGTTAGACCACAGAGTGTGTTTACCGTAAAAATGCGCACTTTATATACCCACGCTGCACGGGCAAAATTCACGACCCAAATCCCATTTTACTTTTTCTTGTTTCTAATAGCAAATTTCCACGTAATTATAAATACTTTTTCACCCATTTTTTCCTTATAATCAGAGCTCTGAAAATGATCGCCACTTTCTGCGCCCATCGTGTAAACATATCCAGTTATCCACAGTCAGCGTCAGTCACTGCCGGTGCTGAACAAAACCGCCCCCCCGCAGGGGCACCCCGAAAACCACAACAAACCAACATGGTATAGATCTCAGAGCTCTGAATTGTATGCATTTCTTTTCAGCCTTCTGTAATACAAATTCTAGCTAATTTTTTATGTTTACATACTATCGAATAATTAAATAAGATGTCAAAACATGAATGCTGCTCAAGGAACTCCAATTTAAATTTACGGGAAAATTATCGTGAATTTTGCTCGTGCAGCGTGGGTATATAAAGTGCGCATTTTTACGGTAAACACACTCTGTGGTCTAACTTGTGAACGTCGCTACAGTAGTCTAATTTATGTTGTACTTAATGAACCGACCAGCACCAACGCTATGATACCTTAGATACTGTACAGACAGTTTTCGGAAATCAATCATGGAAAGAAAATGGCTTCCTATCGGCTATTTAAGCATTTATCGGCAATTATCGGTATTTATGTAATTTATGGGAATAATTCGCTCTGTCCATATTTCATTAAGCACTTGCGCCAGTTCGGTAAGAAACTGGCTTGTTAAGCGTGCTTTATTTTAGGTGGGACAGCTACTGCGATTGCACAATACCTCTGATGAGTCAATTAAGTTCAAGTAGGCCCAGGGGCGAATTTAGGAGGGCACAGGGGCGTGCCCCCTCTCCGAAATCTTCGGAAAAGTGGTACTTCAAAAAAAAAAAGTAAAGGGGCTATTGAGAAAAATTTACCGGCTTTGGGAAAAACTGCAGAACTACATTTTTTTTGAATTTCTAGCGAATTTTCAGTCAAACCGTTTGTTAGCTTCGCGCTCCGCGCGAAAGTGCCTCTATTTTGCACTACCGAATGTAACTCACAATCACTGCGCAAATTTGGTTGTACAGTTCACGGTATCCACGAAGCACATTATCTGAATACATCTTATTCTTTTATTAATAAACCATGTTTCAGAAGGAGTTTTATCAGAAACTCGTAATATTTTACTATTTTTTATCGAATTTCTAGCAATCTCAGGTGTAAAAGCGTGCATCGGCTTTAGCGCTCCGCGCGAAATTTACTATTTTCTGAACTTTGTACATCATATTGCATTGCTGTTGTTCCGTTAAACATCCGCTGCAGAAAAAATTCCAATGACGTATCTGTATCTTACTTATTTTTTACAAATTTTTATATAATTTGTAGCAGTTTCTGATGAAATCGTGCGCCGACTAGCGCTGGCGCGAAAATTCACTGGTTTTCTGAACTCTGTACATAAAATATCGCAATGCCTTTTGCCTTTTGACTTCCGCTGAAAATTATTCAGATTATTTCTGCTATTTTTATAAAATTTCTAATAATTTCTGCAGTGAAAACGTTCGTCAGCTTCGCGCTCCGCGCGGAAATGTCCGCTATCATGTAATTTTTTACTTGACATCTTGCTGTACCAACAATCTTGATTCGATTCGTACTTTCTAAAAATTTTTTATAAGTTTGCAGTGAGTTATCTTGCTATCTTTGGGGTTCTTGGGTTCTCAGTGCCCCTCCCGCCCAAGCGAGTTAAATTCGCCTATGAGTAGGCCGCTAGACTAAGTAAAAGGGCGATATACCGTCCAATGGGCAACCATTTCCTTTCGGAATTTTTTGAGCATGTAAAGCACATCGCAACGTTTTCAGGGATCTTGAGAATTTTAAAACCAGCTGAAGCGATTTTTAGTTATTGGTGTTGTAAGAAAAAGTGGCGAATATAAACTGACGTTATATGAGCTACTTGATGGTAGGTCGCCCATTTACTCGACATAGTGTTCCACTTGAACGCAATTACGAGTAGTTGACGATTAGTTTACAAGAGATTTTCTCGTCATTCAATTCAGATTTACAATTATACACGATAATGCGGTTCGTGAAAAAAGTCATGAAGTTTAACCGATATTATTTTATTTTCAACAGGTTCAAGAGAAAGGCATGAGCGCCGACACACCGAGGCCAAACCGTTCAAATGCCAAAAATGCCCGAAACTGTTCACCCGTTCCGCCACCCTCCAACAGCACCTCAACGCCCACCGAGGCTTTCGCCCGTTCGCCTGTCCTTTCGCAAAATGCCAGCGCCAGTTTACAACGAAATCCAGTGTGCGGCGTCATTGCCGGGAGACACAACACGCAGCGGAAGCCGAAAGTGACCGGGACAGCACAGTTTCTTCCGTGCCAGATTCCGGCTTCAGTTCTTCCATTTCCTCACTGACCAGCAGCGTGTCCAGTGCGCCAGAAAGCCCGGTGGTAATTAAGCTGGAAGAGCTGGACGAAATGCAAGAGATGGACATGTACCGCAAGGTCATCGGCAACCTGACCGAAGCGCAGTTGGAGCGTCTGGAGGAGTATCTGCAAATCGCCATGGACGACAGGGAAACCGACGCCGATGACAATGTGGCCTACACCGTGAAAAATGAACCAACGAGCGAAAACGCGGAATCGCTGATCGAGAAGGCCAAATTATTGACCGGCCGTGGGGAATTTTCTGCCGCAGCTATCGTGGCGCGCAGTCCTTTTGCCGATACAAGTTATTTGTGTTCCGGAGATGAGCAGCGTTATTTTTTTCTGAAGGACACTTTTGGCATTAACCACTGGAATTACTGTCACGGTCCGTCACTGGGAGAATTCGCTTACAGTGGCAATTTTGCCATGATCGACGGCTATGTAATGGAAGGTCGTTGGTCGCATTTTACTGGAGCGTATCCCGTTGACAGTTCTTCGTGTGTAGACGACGACAGTAGCCAAGCTTATGCATTTGATGGACCACCGACGTACTTCGAATTTTCTTGAAGCGTTCGACGGTTATTAATGATTGTGTTTGCATCAGATGGAATCGTGTTGACCATGGGATTAGTTATGTTATTCGGTATCGGCCGCTTTGTTAGCATTTCTCGGTTACTGCTGATAGGATATAGATCGTGGATGGTGGAGTGCTCAGAATGTCAAGGGAATTTTATTCCGGATGGGTTGATCTGGAACGAATTCCCTTCCTGATTGTGGGATGTGATATTTGGAAGGATCTTCATTGTTTTTATGCTTGCATTTGTTTTATGTAGTTGTATTGATCAAGTTAAGCTGCACTTGTTGCTCATTCTTTATGGAACCAGGACTTGTCGCGATATCTCATCGATGCACATAGCTTATTTTACAGGTTGCTCACATTATTAGCAACCGCAAAGAATATACAAGCCTCGACTTAAATAAACAGCGAAATCATACATCAGTATTACGATTATTGGCATTTAACGGCAGTGTTAAAACTGCCCAAACAGCTTCTCCATTTCGGCAATTTTAATTAGAATAAAAGGACCTTTAGGTTTCGTATGGCGAATAGAACAACATAATAGCCAAGGAGCATTAAAATACGAATAAGAATGTTCCTGCACTATCTCTTTTAAAGTTGTGTACTCTGATTGATAGTCACGTTTGCGCCTTTAGCCTTTGTTAATTTTGGCATTAGAGTAATTATTACAGTACATTAAGCTTCACTGTTCACATAAAGATTTCGGTTATTACACCTGTAAACGAATTTTATCGAGGAGTTTTTCTGTATTCCGAGAAGTAGGAAAGCCTTACGTAATTTGTACTCTTTCGGGCGCAACTATTGATCACAAGTGATTCTGGCGCTAAAATTGGCCAACTAAGTATCTGGTTGTGGAAGCAACTCTTCCATCTCAGCAGATAGCGAGGCTTACTCAATCGTGCACGGATCCTTTCCAAAGGGTTTCTTCAAGTGGCGCGCAAGTATTATGCAGACGTTATAGCACATCTTGCGGTCTTTACATACCCTGAGTCCTGACCATGTTGGCGGACAAGAAAATCCGTTAGTCTGATAGGTATATAACAGCACGCTCTACAATATAGACGATCGGTTGGGCAACTTGGAGTTTATTTAAGCGGTACACCTTCCGACTGGGTGGAAAGCCACCCGAGTATAATGGGAGAAAGTTAGATATCCCAAACGAAGATCATTTAGAAATAGTGAGGAGAAGGAGAAAGTCAGTATTTGTGAATTGTGATGAACTTCAGAAAGGAAAAGAAGCGTGGTTCGCAAAACGTTGCGAAATAAAATCTGCAGTGCAGTTCAATGAGTGTTACTCAAGGTTCACTAATGATACTGCCATACCGAGCGGTTGACGCTTCTGCAAGCGCCGGAAGTCCCTGGATTTTCTTCATCTGAAGTTCATAGCTGAGAGATTCTCGTGAAACAGGAATTATTTCCATGAAGGTGATTTCCACGGGAACACAGGTTACTCGGAAGGCAATCGTCCACCGGTCTTAAAGAACTATGTCTTCGCAGTGGTGTGTGTGCATTCAGGCCTTCCCTATATACCACACTCTGCCTGTGCTAGATACCGTGATTTTCGTTCGTTGCAACGGCGAACCTAAATGAGGCTATCGCGTATCGGCCGTAATTTAATTCGCTATCGACCTCGCGCGGCATGCATTTGCCCATGATTCGTGTCAGGCGTTGAACAGTGTTTTCATCTCCTGATATCATTCTCGATATCTCGAAGTTCTCCAGTACTCAGCATTTGAATTGCAACGTCTACTGGTGTCCGTATGCTATTCGTGGACCCGCGTATTTTTCACACTTTCAAACGGAAACGAATTTCATCCGTGACCATTGGCGTACATATAATCGACACCGTTAATGGTATATTTGCATTTCGCGAGATTCTCGGGATATTGTGGAAGTCGTGATACCAGATAATGACTAGCAACTGCATGCTGTTTCCTGTTGCTGTGGCTTTGGACGATGTACTTCTCTTTTCGTTGTTGTTTTGTACTAGCAGCAAAAAGGGTAATACCTTAACAAAGTATTAGCCCGTATACGATATTACGGCGACGTTTGTGACGAGGGCAATGTGGAATCCCGGTTGCTGCGATGCGGGAATGCTGCCGAGTAGCCCAGCTGTGCCGTTGCCCGATGCGTTCCGCTCCAGTGGCATGGAGCGAAACTCTTCGGGCAGCGGCTAGGCTCCATTGATTTCAAGATTCTACACAAATATTCCCACCGAGCGCCTTCTTGCTGGATAGTTTGGATGTGAACGAAATAGGAACTGGATGAACTCGATTGTATGATAAGGCAAAGAACAGCCTCGGTTCGCGCCAGTGGCGCCACGCAATTGTATGGCGAAGATCGGGATTCTGGAGGATTTCATACTGCCTTATTACCCGTGCCACGGTTCGTACATAATTTTATAATAGAATGCTTGAATAACTTCTACCTGCAGTATGATCAGTATACCACGGCATTCTCTACGCATCCTACATGTATCATCCCTATTTTTGAAAACCCATCTTTTTTTCTGCAGCCCACATCGTGTATTCGTACGTTTTTCGTGGGAACAATGACGAACTAACTAATATAGATATGTAATACCAAAACAAGTGCAGGCTACGCAGAATATTCAATTAAATAAGGTTGGAAAATAGTAATAAGAGTGAGTGCTGTTAGGTTCCAACGCTATATTGTAGATGCACCTTTAAAATATCTGTGTATCCTGTAAAATCTCCTTCCGTAGTAACTGCCGTACATGCATACGTAGTATACATACATATATTGTATATAAATCTATATACGAGTATAGTGTATGTATATGTGTGCATGTTAAGTACTTAAGTATCTATGTATTTTGTGAAATATGCGGTAGTAATGCACTGTGCATACGTATGTCTTGTATATATAAAGCATGTAGACGTATCTTATTTATATAGATATATGTATTTATATATATATACATATCGCATTATCTTATTTATATATATAGTTATATATATATATATATATATATATATATATATATATGTCGTATATTTATTATATCTAAGTTGACTGGCAGTTCAAAAGTCACCCATTTTCTATCAAAGTATAAGATATACCAATTATGCAGCCTCAGCCGGCAGCAGAAATAGACGGCCTAATTATACAGAAAATTTCACCTAAATCAGGCGATACTGATGGTGCTCCCATGACATAAGCAGCCGCATTTCCGTGTTGGATTTCGATGCTGAACCGCTGGCGCAGAGTCTCGCTCGCCGGTATCTCGCATGCTTCCTGTCATATCATCTTGCCGAGTTCGGTGACCAATTCCCGATTTCGGTGAGCGTTGGTCACCGAACTCGGGAAGAGGATGCAGGCATGCATGCATGCGAGAAGCGTCATGCGAGAAGCTTCTAGTTTCCAAGTTCCGAGTGTTTCGACGAGTACCCTTTATGTATCCATACGCCAAGTATAGTACACTGGATGTATCCCGCTGGTATGCCACTTAAAATACTTCAAGTATCGGAATTCTAAGGGACCTAAGAAGGGTACGGAGCGCATCCGGCATGCACGACGGATAACGGATACGAATGATACGTGGAGGTACATTGCGTGAATACTGGACTGTCATGTAACAAGCACAGCTGCGGACAGCAAGAATACTGTAACGATCCAGTGGATATTATTGCTTGGGAAAGTGATACGCGTTTAAACGTCCCTTTCTATTCGGCACGTTTCATGGTGTTTGGCTATCTCTGTTAACATGATAATGTTTTCCAGTGTCTTATCACACAGTGTTCTCGCAGTATCCCTTTTATTCCTTTATGTGTCCTCTATGTACCCTTCAAGCATTCTGCGACTTTTCTATGTTTTCTCAAGATTCTTAAGCTCTTAATAAAACATGGGATACCCAAAGAAATACTGCAGAAGGACAATGGAATAGCAATGAGCAAAAAGGGGTGAAAATTTTCATGATACATGACGAACACATAGGACAGGATACGAAGGGACACTGTAAATCCTAATAAACACTTTGTGTGTAGAAAAATTAATGCAAAGTCGTCCGTATCTACGCTAGGCTGCAACACGACGGACGACCTCTGGCAAAACAACAGAATTCGTGCAAGTTTCCAACGGTTGCGCTGCCAGAAATCGTCCGCTCGATGGATTTGGGTAAGCGTAAGCATGGTCCCGTGTGGGGATGCGGTAGGCGGCGGTCGACCATTGTGTCAGGGTACAGGTAACGCAGCGGACGGTACTGCAGCAAAATCATCCCTATTCAACGCCGCCGCTGACCCAGCCAAATGTAGCGGTACGGGAAAATCGGTGAATCCCTTACACAATATCGTCATGATACTGAATTTTATATTCGTCGATGTCCGAAGGAGGTATAATGGCTGCAATAAAAAGTGTAGCAGTTCCAGTAATCTTTTAAAATCCAGAAATACGGTAGGTGTACGAAATGAGTACTTAACATTATTCCACATTCCTTTCCAACCGGAATAGCAGTTGTTTCCTGGAAGCGCTGAATAAGCAGTTCCAGTTGAGATGCTTTAAGAGCATCGCTTCAATATGTGCAAGTGAACAGCTAGCTCTTGGCGTGATGCAGCACCGGAAATAGGCGTGCTGCTTTTCCGCCGTAGATTTAGCACGCCGATAACGCTGCACGGATATGTTCTGCAGCTCACTAGTGTAGCCAGCATGATATCGTTAAGCCAGTACCATCTCCACTGTATTCCTCTTTTCCAGCTGTGTGCATCAACGTGGCAGTCCCTGAATGTTAGTGTAGGCTGTAGAATATTTACCAACAGATGCATCGTGAAGCGGAAATAATCAAGCGTAATTTATTTCCTCTAAAGAAGCAGAATTCGTTTCTCCTGGTGTAAACTGACGACGCTACTAGCTGTCTTCATTCATTACCCGTACAAACGTTATCAGAATCCGCCGTATTAAACACGGTCAAAGGGTAAACAGTGCAGGGAACGAATGGAACCGTTGCACGATCACCAGCGCGCACTCCCAGAATACGCGGACGCCCCGCCGGATTACGGGGTGGCGACGGGATCCTCTCCGGCCGTCCTCCTTCCGGCAGTAGCCCGGCCGGCCAGCGGTCTGCAGGCTGTGGATTTCCTGCCGCGAATGACGCGGGAGAACGGTCCCTCCCACCACGCCGAGTACGAGCCGTTTGGCGTGCTGGTGGAGCGCGCCAACGACTACCTGCGGGACCACCCCCGCTGCCGTGTCAACACCTGCGAGAGCGTGGCGTTCCGCGTCTACCAGCGCGGCCAGGACATCGACACGGTGCAGTTGGTATTCACGGCATACGGTACATTGGGCACTAGCTTGTCGACAAACTGAGCATGTAAAGGTACAGGTAGAGCGATATTAGCGCGAAATCGGCGCTTGAATAATGGCCAGTGC